CTACGACTCCTTTTTAATCGGAAATTTCTACAAATTTACAGTCATAACGGTGTTAGTATGCTCAATTAATTGAAAATCTCATCTAAACAATATCCAAGTGTGCTGTGAACGAAAGGGCTGGTCTATGCTATTAATTAGAGGGAGGGGAGGGGGCGGGGGGGGGGGGGGGTTGAGGAACGTTTAGCTATTATTTACGATTAGACCTTTCTCAAAGTTACAAGAAATGGATACTTGCATGCTTTCTTCATATACGGACGTCTCCGTGCATAAGATGTCGGAATTGTTGAAACCCCCTAACGTCGTGCGTCTCATAGGTTACTTGACATTGATTTATATTGCATCTGATTGAATCTCACAGTGCATTAATAATAGATGAACACTCTTGCCCGTTCTAGGAACAAGCAAAATTAAGATAAACACTCCATTTGTAATAAAACTAGTTGCGCATCTGGCAACAAGCAAACAATAGGAAGAAACATCCTTGAACTCCCAAATCAATTACAACCCGCTTCAGTTATACAGTCAACGCAACAACACTACTACTGTCAACTAACGGAGAATAGCACGATAAAACAAAACTACGACAAAAACTTTGAGCCTACTAGCTCACTGTTGTTATGCTCCCGTCTACAGAGGGCACATGAAAAAGAAAAAACACAAAAAAAGGAAAACATATCAGTACGGAGTAATGTACAGATGGCGGACCTTCAGAATGTATGTACACTCTATTGCCCTAAAAAAAATCCTAATCTTCGATAGTTTGAATCTCGCCCATCATGATCCTGTTACTCATAACGTTAAACCCTAAAACAGCAGGGCTGACCTTTTTCCCTTTCTTTCCTTTCTTCTTACTCCCTCCTCCCTCAGCGTCAACTTCCCTCAAATTCCTGGTAGTATCCTTGCTTGTAAGGGTACTGCTCTGAGCACTAAATGCCATTTCAACGACATCAGGTGAAAGAAATTCTTTGTAGTTGAGAAACTTATCGATGAACTCATGATTACGGTCCATTGAACCAAGATTTTCTCTGAGCAGCATTTCAGCCTCTGAAGCTGACTGCTTCAGGCAATACTCCAAGAAGCTTGTATCTGTAATATAATGAAGGAAACAAGGATGGGTAAACGATTACTCTTGAGCTCTTTTTTTTATGTTGGGTGGAGAATGAAGTTCAAGAAAGTACCATTAGTCCCAGTAAGCTTAACCAATTCACTTTCACACCAATCTCTGAAATCTGTTGCCTCTGCAAACAAAGAATTTGAAAATTAACTCCAATGAAATTCAGCCTAAAATTATGGAAAGAGATTTGAAATTGGATTTCTCCTAAAATTTCTCAATTTTATGTTGGCTAACCTGAATGCTTGGATGCTGCACCTTTCTTCCCTTTGGATGAAGCTTGGCCAGCAGCTGGCAAAGAAGACCCAGCTCCTGTAGACTTCTGCCGTGTTGAAGATGCAACTTTACTGGAGGTACCTTTTCCTCCAGGACTCGCAAGAGATGGAAAATCAGATCTGCTTGCGATTCAAAATGCAGGTAGTTTAACTTTCAGATGAAACAAATCCAAATGGCTAGTCGAATGAAGCAAACCAACAATTTAAACATCAGTCACTGTTGGAGCCTCTTTTGCTATTCAACATAACGTTTATTATTATTATTAAGATTATCCCCAAAAAAGTTCTCAATGTGCCCAAAGTGCATTAAAGTGCGGAAGAAGAAAATATCTATGGAATATGATTACCATGCAATTCTGACATTCTATGCCAAGCAGAAGTTTGAATGACCCAGGAATATGTCATGACATTTGGAAATTCTACGAGTGTCACAAATTCAGAGATTTTTGATTCATACCCAAAACCAAAATTTTATATCAATATATCTTTGATATTAATAAAAATGTGAAACAGAAACGACATATGCAAATCAAAATGCAATATATCTGAGTGCAGCATATCAATAGCATCCTACAGAAATGTTCAGATATTAAGCTTCTAACCACACCAAACACGTTTATGTTTTTACACAATTAAGAAGAGCTCACGTTTCATATAACAAGAAACTGCAGCCACAGATCCAGAAGAGGTACTTTCAAAATGTACAATATGGAATGATATTTACTCTAAATTATGCCAAAAAAAAGACCTTCCAGCAAATCAATTGAATCGGCAAAGGTTTAGTAAGCAACTAGGCATGTGAATTTATTTTCCCTTGTGTAAAGAAAGAAAGGAATGCTTAACTCATAAAAAAGGGTATTCTATATTTGCACAACAGTTAGAATCTGAGAGAAAAAGCTAAAGAAAAATGGTATAAACTTTGCAATGATCCTAAACAAAGGGAAGTAAGGTAAGTAGATTCAAAATCCATTAGCAATGTTCCACTCCCTAGCCCAATAAATTCACAAAGACTCACTGCCACTACAACTGCAGAGGTTGAGAGAGAGAGAGAGAGAGGATCATGACTGTACAGAAACAAGGAAATCAGTGCCTGGAGACTAGCATTTCCTATTAGGAAAAAAAATTATGCATCTTGTTTCTCGCCAATCCCCCGTCATGTTAGATCTCTAATACTAAAGAAATAGGATGAAGCATCTCATAGACTTTGTTACTGCAAATTAGAGGAAAATTATCCCTCTGAACTACCTGCATCTACAAACTATGAAATAATAAAAGAAAACAAGAACATGAAACTAAAAGCCTAGAGAACAAGATTTAACATGGTTTGCTTAGAATCAGTTAACATTCACACCCATGGAGAATGGAGCTCAACCGGCAGAAATTATTTCTAAATTTTATCAGAAATCGATTGCAACAAGCAACAAAGAATGCTAGCTCCATATGCACATCACTGAAATACCAAGACAGTAAAATTCAAGACAACTTACAGAGAAATCAAAAGGTGAAGTAATACTTACTACGTGATGGTAAGACTAGTTCATTACCAACAAATCAAGCTAATAGGTCCTACAAACTTAATATTAAAGACTTACTGTGTTGTTTCCTGTTTTAATTGATCAAGAGGCCCCCAGAATAGATCATCTTCCGCTTTGGGTTTTGACTGATTGGAAGTAATAGGACTAGTACGCCCAGGAGATGCTGCTTTGTTTTGACCAGAAGATGTAACTTTGGAAGGAGAAGAACCAGGCACAGGCCATGATGAACCGGTTCCACGATTCCCCCGACTTGATTGAACTTTAGGAGGAGTTGGTACTGGGATCTGTTGCTGTACTGATGGATTCTTTTTTCCTTGCTCCCTAAGAATGTCCCTTAATGATGTGGGTTTCTGAACCTTCGTTGAGTCAGTAGACCATGCTGGGGCAGGTGAAGAGCTTGATTGGTCACCCTTCCAAGGAACAAAATCTCCTAATGATGGGCCTGCAGATGGAACAGGTAATAGTTCTTTCTCTTGCTGCATCTGACGAGTACTTTTGCTCTTCTCTGCAGCAACTACAGAAGCAGATAGGTAAGCTGAATTAACTGGCGGTGATGCCTTGAGTCCAGCAGCCTTAGCAGCCTTTGCCGCCTTTTTACGGCTTTTTTTACTGTCTTTGGCCTCAATGAAATCACCATCATGAGCTTCAGCTTGAGCAACCATATGAGCCAGAGGAGGCAATGATAAACCATTTTCATCCAGAACGGCATTATCTTCTTCATTTGACTTGGCCAAAACTTCTTCAGCCAATAAATCATGCAACTGGCTTTTTCTGCTCTTCGATGTGATAGTACTTGCAGAAATGCCCACGACACCTTCTGAGCTATTTAGATTGTGAACTGTGTCAGTTCTAGATTGTTGTTCTGAATTGGCAACAACACCTGCCCAAGGGGTACGAGAATTATTTGTAGGCATAGGCGCTGCTGAAGTCTCCAAAATTATGGGGGCGGTCTGAAGCCTGCGTTGTTCTTCCTGTTGAATTTCTAACAATGACTTAGGTTTAAGCCCTGGAGCAGGCTTCCATGCTCGATTTGTTGAAGTTTGCGAGTTAATTGATGGTGTTCCAATTCCACCTTGTTCAGCTTTCTCTGATTGTGCAGCATGCACAACAGAGCCTGTGAGTTCAGTTCCCAGAGTTTGAGTCATGTGAAGAGACTCTTCCACTTCCATCTGTAATTCAACCATTCTTCCATCAATATTTGCTCCCTCAGTTTCAACATCTGGTTTTGCTTGCTTGCTACTAACTGTAGATGACCCCTTACCGTGTTCAGCAACAAGCTGTGACTTTGAGCTCTTCTGCTTTCTGGATTTTTTCTCTGATGCTTTTTTTGCCTCTTTTACTTCTACTTTTTTTACTTCTTTCACTGGGAGCACTTCATTCTGGCTCTTCGTGGGAATTCTTTCTGGAGAAAGGTTCGCATCATTAATTTTTTCAGAAAGAGAAGACACAATATCGGAAGATATTGCTCCCTCTGAAACCACATTGCTACTTACAGTTCCAGCTGCCGCTGATGTCATGTTTTCTTTCACATTACTCACAGCAGGCGGCCTATCTTTCACTTCACTATTGTCAAGATCTAGCACATTCCCCTGTTCAGCAAAGCCATCCTTTGCACTTTTCTCAACAGGTTCAGCCAAGACAAAACTGTTTACTGCAGCACTTGCTGAAACCGGATCAGAATATGAAACACCCTCTACCTCTTTAGGAAGAATATTATCCCATCCATCTGGCCGGGAGGAATGGTTAAACATCTGATGAGGCAAGTTGGGGGGAGGAAGTCCAGAGCTAACTGTCAAACTGACATCCTTGGAACCTTGAATGTTGACATTTGAAAGATCAGATGACCGCCCATCAAGTGAGTTCAGGACCGGCATCTGCTGGTTGTTCATAAGCGTTTCATGCATTTGGTGAAGACCGAGATGGTCTGCAGAAACATTTGCTACTAGTGGAGAAGCTTTTAAATGTCCCATGGACGGATCACCAAAATGCTGATGAGGTTGGGGCCCAGATAGAACCTGAGAAAGCAAATGCTGCTGCTGCAGCAGTAGCTGTTGCTCTTGTCTCTGCTGCTGCTGCTGCTTGAGTAATAAGTACTTGTCCAATAGGGAGAGATTAGGGGGAATAGATGACTGAGATTGGTGCTGAATTTGAGACATCAGATACTGCTGTTGCAATAAACCAAGTAACTGTGGGTCTTGAGAAATTTCTGAAGCTAGCAACTTTTCAGGTGGTGCTACGCCAGGTGAAAGGTCTACAGGTTGACCCAACAAATGTGAAAAAGAAGGCTGAGTTTGTGGATGAACCCTCTGATGCTGAGCTCCAAACCCACCTTGGGATGTGATATGCTGATTAAGATGCATGTCCATCTTATCTTTTATCATATCCATACCTCCATGAACAAGGTTGTTCAGAGACGAAACCTCTGTTGCGTTTGGCCATACAGGTGCTGAGGTAACTGCTGATGAAGAAGGCTTACCTGATGCAGCCTGCAGCAACGATAGAAAGTCTACCTGCTGAGGGGACTGAGGAATTTGACCAGAAGCCTCACCAACATGGGGCAGAAACTTTGATTGTGGTGATGGCAATTCAGGAACCATATCTGGCTTTGCACCAATTAACGAGGCATCTCTCCCAGACCAGTAAGGAAGTGCAGTCGGTATAGACTTCTGCCGCTCCAATGACATCCTCTGTGCCAAAAGGTAATTCATATCACTCATGCTTTCTGCCCTCGCAGAGGGTGCATTGTATCCTTTGATACCTGAAAATAAAGGTTCAAAAATTCTGTTAAACGGTGCAAAATACCACCCAAGTTCCATAAAGTAATAAGATTGAATATAACTTGCATTAGATTTTTCGCATGTTAAAAGTAAACTGACCTTCAGGAAAAGGATAATGCTCCGATGATGAATTGCTCATGTTACCGGACATCAAAGACTCTATAAAGCGGTTTTCTGCTTCAGTTGCTCCCCCGTGCCGATTTATCTGCATGCTTTTAGTAACATCAAATTCATTCGTTGCTGCATGAGCATTCCCAAGGCTGCCAAAGGTTCCCCTGCTTGACACCTCCATGGCATCATTCTGTTTAGCGCCACCAAATCCGGGAGGTGGCCCTGCTTTTGCTCGCAAGTGTGGCATAACATCACCAAGCAACGAAAAAGGTGCATCAGGTGGAGCACCAGCAATACGAACTTGCAAATCAATACCAAAATATCCAGCTTCAAACCATCCAATCAGATCACTACCAGAAAAGGGTCCTTGGATTTGACCTTGTGGATCTTTATAATGTAGACTTAAGTCTTCAGGGACAAGAGCAGGTGGGAATTTACCAGCACACTTCTCTCTGGAAATAGAACAATTTTCCTGACTGTAGAGAAGCGGGCCTTGTTGTTCAAGGTCCAATATTTCTGATGATTGTCTTTTGAACTTAAAATCATTTTTCTGTTCTGAATGAAGGTCATTGTCTTGCCACTGTAATTTATCTCTGAAGTAAGTCTGTTCGCTTTCAAGATTTTTCTGTAGATGCCGACTCACATCTGATGATCTGGTTCTCGCTTCCGAGGATAAATCTTGCCAATCTGTAGATGATCCACGAGAGCGCTCTCGTGCTGATTGGGATCTCCAAGGGCTATGATGGGAAGATGATCTTTCAAGCATGCTAACTTCCTTATTACCCATCTCATCTGCATTATTAGAATAATATTGCACAAAAAGCAAAAATATAAATTAAAAAAGACACAGTCAAAAGAACCAACGTCACTTAAAAGTATAGCAACATATTTGGCAGAAAAGCGAGTAACAGGAAAGGAAAAAAAATTAAACAAGTTACTACCATTAATCTTCACACCCAGAGAAGAATGAATAGATTGTAGGTGTTTTTGCGTATATAACCCCCAGATCTGTCCTATTTGCAAACCTATCCTCCAAATATTTGCTAATTGAGTCCCTCCAAAATTCATCCACATTAGATAAAAATACCCCTCATACGAAATATACTCAATATTTTCCATCAAATTCTGTTAATAATTCAATATTATTAATAAAACACAATTACACCCCCAATTAACTCAGTATATTGCAAAATTACCAGGTCATCACTGACCTATGTTGCATAGATACGGGTACGGGTACGGGTGCGGGTACGGGTACGGGTACGGGACACGGTAAATTTATAAAAAGTAGGGTACGGGGACACGGCTGTATATATATAAAATAACTCACTTTAGATCAATATTGAATTAAATACCTATTACATTTTCATATTTTTTTTGTTATGTAAAGTGGAGATTATAAATAAGAAATTAAAGAGATGAGGAACATATAGAAAAATAGATCAATTTGTATGTTATATTATTATGTAACCTTGGAGACAATGTTTTTTTTTTTGAAAGTTTTATGTGAATTGATTTTGATTTGGTTTTAGAGCTAACCAACCCAACTATAATCATTATAGTTAATAATCAAAATGAAAATGAATGGTAATTATTAGCCCAAACAAATTTGATTGTATAAGCTCATTCTCTTGAGAAGGCCCCAACTTTAAACTCTGCTATGTGCTCAGCCCACTTAAAGGCCTGCTATTAATCAATTAAAGACCGGCCCAAAAAGTCTCCTCCAATCAAAACCCTAAGTCTGTATAAGGCTAAATAACGCCGCCTCCATCTCATTCCCCAAACCGTCAAACTCAAACCCTAACGCCGAGATCCACGCATCTCCAATCTCGTCGTCTCTCGAATCTCGTCGTCGAATCCTCCGTCGAAGCTCGTCGTCCCTCCGATCTCGTCGCCGACTCCTCCCTCGAAGCTCGTCGTCCCTCAAAGCTCGTCAAAATCTCAGGTTCATCGTCGAGGAATGGGGTCGACGCTTCTGTTGATGGGGTCGTCGCTTCAGTCGATGGGTTCGAAGGTGGTGAAGGCGGTCGTCGCTTCAGTCAAAATTTCAGGTTCGTTTTTCTCCCTCACGGATGAACTAGCCGTGTCCCTGCCGTTTGGGTGCAGATCCGCACCCAATACGTACCCGACACGGGTACGGGACCAAAACTCCCGTGTCGGGGTAACATAGTCACTGACAGAGAGGGTTCTCGTTGCTGGTGATCAGGGCTCATCACCTGCCGTAGGTACGTGGGTCCAGGGTCTACGATGGGCGAATGGGAGTGGGATGAGCCGGAGTTTTTAACCCCCCTCGGGGGGTTGGGGGGCAGCTTTAAGGTGTTAAAATTGGAGGGGTATTTTTATGCAACGTGGAAGGATTATGGGATAAATTAAACATCAAGAGTTTGGGGGCAATTTATAAATATAAAAATTTGTGGGGTATATACGCAAAAAGTCCTAGGATCATCAGCTTGTCTACATACATATCAAAATGACAGTAGCCAGCTATTGTCAGTGAGAATTTCATGATGTATAATTAATGTTAATGATAATACATGATTGTCGATACGTATAATTAATATTTTACTGAGATACATTATCTACTAATTTGCATAATTAGTACGTAATAAGAAGAGTTACATTTTGCTTTATTAGTTTGTAGAATGGTAGGCATGGAGAAGGTAAATTTTGAACTACATTACCTTCAGATGATAATTTATTCTCCTGATATAGATGACTTGATGCTGCCTTTGAACCTGAACCTTGCTGATAGCGATGTGTTGCACTCTCCAAGTAATTGGAATAATCACCCTGTATGTTATTGCCACTCTCATCTTTATAATCACCAGACCCAAATGTTGTATCTTCTCTACTCCCTGTTCGACCACAAGCAGATATTTAGACATGTAGCACCAAACTTACAGCAAGTAGAAAGGCTTAAAGATTGACAAGGTACCTAATCTAGGTGGTTTTGACATGGCAGGATCCACAGAGTTCTTCCCCACGGAGCCATCTTTAGAAACTTGTGGCAAGCCGCTACTAACAATATCTCCTTTGTCAATTGCTTTAAGAGTAACCTACACAAGCAGGGTGAATAAGCTGGTCAGACATATTTATGAGTAAATTAAGACTGCTTTTTTTAAAGAGAAGCAAAGCTCATCTGATGTAATGTGCATGTACGGTACAAAGTAATTACCAATTCTTCTGAAGTCGGTGCAGAAAGGGCTAGAGGTTCCAGAGGTTCTGCTATTGTCAGAGAAGGGACATCCAAAAACTCCTCCAGTGATATTCTAAAGCTCTTTAAATCAGTCATCCTGTAAATATCAAGTAGTTTCATCCTACTGTATCTCAAATTGCATGGATCTCCATGGGCACTGTCGGACCTCTCAGGGGTGAAACCTAGGGTATAGGAACGAGATGTGCCATTATTCACCATGCTCAAGCTAGTATCGACTCTCCCACGACCAGCAGAAAAAGGTGAACCTCCATTTTCACCCTTCCCTCTACCATAACCAAAGGATGGAGCTTGCTTGCTTGGAGTCAATGATTGGGAAAGGTTAGACTCCCCTCGCCCACGAGCTAGGAAGGAGTTAGACCTCCATGAGCGAGAATGCTCTCCCTCCCCATCTGCATCCTTCGCCTGACTAGTTATATCCCTACCATGAATACTTGGATGAGAAGTTCCCTTTTCACGGGACCCATCGTAACCTTTGCTAGTATCTGACCACTTTTCACGGCGATTATCTGATTCCTTATCATCAGGGCCCCACCGTGAGTTCCATTTGTTCTCACGACGTTGGTCATAGTTATCATCTCGCTTAACAGAGTCAGGCCACCTTTCTGATGGGGCTCTCCGTGCTTCCCCTAAATGTCTCCCAGAATTTTCTGACCAGCGTTCTGTTCTGCGAGTATCTCCAAACTCCTTGTCTGCTTCCCTCCAGCGATCACGACGAATAGCAGATTGTGTCTCCCTTTCTTCATCACGCCAGCGGTCACGACGCCCGGGTTCCAAGTCATGCAAGGATGGTCTGAAAACATCTTTTCTCTTTCCAGCATCATGAGAGTCCTCACCAATTCCCGATGCCCTCATAGCATCGGGACGATTTCCATGGTGAGAACTGGGATGAGGCTCCTGCAAAGCACCAGCACATTACTAATACAAAAAATTACAGTGTGCAGAACGCATCGTCATTAAACAACCATACTTATTTGGTAATAATGTAATCGCCTCCAAAAGGTGAGTCTGTTTATGTGTATTAAGTGATTTCTGATGCTTTATGTTTTACGAAACAGATGCTTTAAAAAAAATAAATGGCACCTTACCCCAGACAATATTCCAAGCTTATTGTCCACAGGTTTTGGCAAGAGCCACTGTGGAGAAAGGGGAAAAGGATTATCAGATCCTTGCATGTCTGCAAAAAAAGTTAACAGAAAAATTAAGACTATATAATTACCTACAAACTGAAAAGACTCAATATATAAACTATTGATTTCTCCTGAATCCAAAGCACAAGTATTCAAAAGTATCAACAATAAAGGTATAATTCATGGATAAGTAGCAGGGAAGAAAAAGAAAAATCTTCCATTCAGAGGTGAAGGCACAGGACTGAATAAAAGATACAAGGTTAGCAGCTAAACCACAAAAAGGTGGACCTGTAAGTTTTTGGCAATAATAAAGAGATGCAGAAGATAAAGCTCTATCAGAATTGGTATATTCCTCCCGTCACTTTTTTTAAGTATAAATAAGTTATGGATACATTTAATGGAGGAAGGATCGTGGTTGTTGCAAGTACATGGGTAACATCTAGAGATTATTGCTTAAACAAAATGTCCACGGTGAACAGCAAAGCAAGCAAGAGGCCTAGATTCTGCAAGAGTTTAATCCTTAAGCTCAAAATACCACTGTATTATATATATTAGTATATATTATATATATATATATATATATATATATATTATTATATATATATATATATATATTATATATATATATATAATATATATATTATATATATATAATATATATAATATATTTCTAAAAACCTTAATCACAATGGTAACATGAGAATCACATTATCTGACACTTTTATTTTCTACCACTAGAAATCATTAAAAAATAATAAACACAAAGAGACCAAAAAGAAACAGCCTTCCTTGTCATTGGAGATTATTCTTTCATTTTCTTTTATATTTTCAGGTTATAAAGAAAAAAAGGCATTAATGATATGATAGTTAACGGTTCACAGGAAACAAAAAATTTGAATTAGCAATGTTTATAAAAAATTATGTGTTATCAAGACATAATCCATGATCAAACAGTGGAATGAATTTTTTAGTAGAAAACTGATGCCCAAGGGAAAATGAATCCTAATAGAAACCCGATTGCCTAAGTCACTTCTTTCCGCAACCAAATGACACTCATGCCAACTCCTTAAATGACAATAATAATGAACAAGACTCAAAATGTGACTTCCTTTGTGCCAATCATAATCTGACTAAGATAAGGGGTTACTGGATACAAATTGAGTTAATAATCAATTAAGTAATTAACATTGATGGATATGCTTTTTGATGCTCAACTCCAGATTGGTGGTCTCTTAAGTTTCTCATGTTCCTTATAACGGGAAACAAAACATACCAGGAAGGCTGCCAACTGCTTGCCTAACACTACAGCAGATAGCAGCTGGCTGTATAAAGCGTCTATTAAAGCAGAATGGCATTTAAAATTAGTCATTGGTACTGCTGTAGTTAGATGACTATATGTACATATGAAAATATGCTTGCTTAAAAGAACTAGGAAATATCGGGGGGGTGGTGCGGGCGGGAGAGGGGGCATATGCCTTGAGATATAGAACAGTCACTCATATGCCAAGTACAAAAAAAGTAAATCGAAGTTTCAGCATACAAGCAAATTGAAATTTCAGCATACACACGCGCGCGTTATATGTTGTGTAATTTCATGTCGCAGACTTTAAATATGATGATTGATGACATATGATAACACAAATATTATCTGGTTGAAGATTTATAATGAGTCCAATAGATATATCATATCTGACCTAGGTTACCTGAACACTTCCTAAGTTCATCTAGGCTGTCGTATCCATGTCTGACACTTCCGCAAGGTTATCGATAGCGGATAACGTCGCGTAGTGGTGAGGCATCGCTAAGGCTATTTCGGGCTATTGCGGTAAAATAGCGGTAAAAAACGCAAAGTCAAATAGCGGTCTAATTTAGATATGTATAAATACTAAAAAAGTAAAATTAAAGAAAAATCTAAAAGTACATATTGGATGATTTAAAGAGATCCTAAACATGAAATAGACATGTAACAATCACGTAATACCGAAGATGACTGGAGGAGTCAAAAAGTCGTCTTCGAGAAGAAGAGCTTAGCGGTGACAGGACTACCCTAAGAGGAGCTCACGGTGAAGGAGGTGAGAGGAAGTATCAAGGTAGGTGTCAAAGGCTACGAGAGGTAACGGGAGTATGCTGGAAATCACATGAGACAGTGAAATACAATGGTCAATGGTTGAGTTTAATTTTAAAAAAATAAGCCTCAAACCGCTTTTAAATAGCAGTCAAAAAGTAAATTTTGAATGCAATCGCTCACTATTTACAGTTATGACACACTATTGACCGCTTTTGCGAATAAACATATTCTGTAATATGTCACCGCTATTGGGCGATAACGTAGCGGGCGATAGCGTCGCGGGAAGGGATCGCTAACGCTATTAGCGTCGCTATTGCGGAGCTATTTACCGCTATTTATAACAATGCACTTCCGTATCCATGTCCATGTCGAACACTTCTTGGACACTTGTTGAATACAAATGGACATTTATTAGACGTGTACTCAATATATAACACATGTTTTAGTTTAAAAAAGCTCATGATACACTTCTTGAATGTATTATCGTACACAACCACAAATTTATGCAAGTCATTAGACTGAGGATAAGTTTGTTTTAGCACATGCCTAGTCCATAAATATAATTCTAAAAGGGTCATTTGGGTACCTAGTTAAAAACGAGCAGTTTTTCAATTCATAATCTACTCAATAAAAAGAAACATAAAAATGATAAGGATTTTAGTTCTCATAACATGTGAATGAAAAGCAATGTCAATCTCATATCAATTATTAATTTTAAATATAAGCCAAATAATATCAAGTTATCACCAAGTTATCAGATTTGGACCCCTTCCGCTAGGATAAGTTCAATTTTAAATCAATTATCGTTTTCGGTTGTTTATTAGCGATAAAGCGGCAATAAAGTGACATATTGGCCAAGTTTATCAGTCCAAAAAATCAAAAATATTGCTAAAGTTATGTTAGTTTGGGTTTGGATTTCGGCAACGTGCACATAACCAAATACACTTTAAACCCGACCCGATTCACCCAAACACTAAAACCTGATCCTATTCCTTTCCTAATTCATTTAGCCCTAACGCGTCTCCTCGTTTCTTTCTCCCTCTTTGTTTAATTGTGCCCTAGAACCCAAATCGACTTCGGCTCCCAACCTACGTTCTCTAGTCTCCTTCCACCGTGACTACCTCCTCCATTCTTTCTCCCCTTCTCTTCGCCCCTCCATTCTTATTCCTCTCCATCAACCTATTCTCCGTCGACTTCAACTTCAAGTCTTCAACTTCAAGTTTCCGATGCTATCCGATATGGATTTTGACCTTAAAATGTGTTCTTTACATTTTGGTATTTTGTATTTCATTGAGTATGGTTATGTTATATTTTGAGACATTATATTATGTATGCACCCCATCCATGACACTTCGATAAATACTACTTATCCCAAATATATCCCCGATATTCGCTATCTGACATGGATTTTGACCGTCTAATAAATCTCCGATAACCGATATTTAAAACCTTGATTTTAATATGTATGTATATGGTCGTGACCCCATATCCTAACTTTTATAATTTTGTCATGTCTCGTATCCACACCCTTGTTTAGGTCCGCCCCTGTACCCGTATCCATGCAATATAATATCTAGCTATACATTACTCTAGATCTAATGATAACTAAGCCAATTGTTCTATACAATATGCAAATAAAAAATAAGAGAAGAATCTTCTAAAATAACATAATATGCAGCAATGCATATAGGGGATGCAACTTAAGGCCTATTTGGTTCATAGGTAGGATCAGAAGTAAGAAGTAAATCAAATCTATTACTTCTAAAATTATCAAGTAGGAAGTAGCATACGTATTTATTTGTTTCGTAAATTTTTGGAAGTAGAGGAAATATTGTTTCTTCCACTTTATTAACTTTTTTGTTTGGTAGCAATTATAGATATTGTTAAGATGAGAGAGAGGATCTTTCGGGATTTTATTTAGAATAAGAGAATATCCATGAAATAACAAAAATGGTTTGATTCCAAAATGATTCAATTTTAACTACTTGCGAGGTACTTTCAAGCCTTGAGGAAAGGAAAAAAATTCAAGAAATAGAGATGACACGTGAGCGCCAGGTCAGCTTTTAAGGAAGTATCAAAAGGAACTTTTCCAGAGAAACAAACATACCTTTCTTCTCAAAAGTAGCAGCAATAACTCCTACTTCCTTTACTTCAGCTACTACTTAACTACTTCAGTGGAAAATTGAAAAGCTTTCGAATGTAGTTTGCAATTTCTAAAAATTCCATCAAAGATATTCGAAAGCTTTCCCATGTAGTTGGCAATTTGTACGCAAACAGCAATTATAATTTGACATGATATGGACATGGGATGGCTGCTATAAGACCTAATAGGCCAAGCGATGAGCAGGAAAAACCTACCATGTTGCTGTGCACTGTACATCATGTAATCAAGAAGCAACCTTCCAAGTTTCTCCTTGATCCAGAAGCAATTAAACCACAGGTGAAGATGTACAGATTTGCTTAAGAAAGTCTCAAGAATTGCTAAATCATCATTTGTGAACAGTTGCAAGAATAAAAGTCATGATGTGCTTACTGGTTCTTTCACAACATCTTTTATAGGAGAAATACAGACATGAGTTATTAACAGTAGACTTGCTATATTAAGACACAAATACAAAGGATGACTAACATTAAACAGGCAAAAGTAGTAGTATGGAGTGAGATCTCTCACAAGCTATAAAGCTTTAAAATAGGGACAACTGAAATAACAACTTTGAGAACTAGACACCAGTAGTAGGCCACATTCCTGGTAGTACCTCGCAGACTCACAGTAGGGAACTCACCTTCTGTTCCTGAAAAATCCTACAAGCTACAAGAAAACTAAATGATGAACCACGTATCTTGTACATGAAAAAAGAAACGTGATTTCCTCCTGGTAATGAGATTTTGGTAGTAAACCAAGTACCATGAATCTTTGGGCTATTTCAAAGCTATCAAATTTAAACTCATGCAATAAAGGAGCAAACCTTCATGCAATAAAAGAGCAAACCTTCACATTTCTCCTAATTCAAGAGAATCTAGAAGTGAGGCTAACAATAAAATTGTGCTATAGGTCACATTCACCTGAGGCAGGATATAGGTCAAAGAGCCAAAAGAACTATTCCCTTGTTCATCTTGAAAGATTTAGAGCAATTGTCATCAACGTCAAAATATTTTTTTGATGGATATAGTCACCCTTGATGATGTGGTATGTCATTCTCTTCTAGAATTGAATTTGATGAAATATAATATATGATCTATAAAGGCAATTTTTAAAATTAATTTTATGTGAATGGGAGAAACTTACACAAGTACACTGAACAAAATTGTGTTTGTATACTCTAGCATGCTTAGAAAAACAAGGAGAAACAATATTTGGATAATCATACTTTTTGTGGTATTTGATAGCATGCAGCTAGAAACCCAAAGACATGCTCTAGGACATGAAAGTAAGTATGGACTGAAATAATTATTTCTAATATAGTAAGAAGAAAACACAAAGCATTTAAATGAGGAGTTAAGGGAAGAACTTGACAAGAACTTTCATTAGTTTGCCAATGGATGGCATAAGATGCAGATGTATCAAAAATACTTAATTGGTTCCTGTTATCTCCTTGCTAGACCTCAAGTTTGTAAACCAAACAAAAGTAACAATAATAACATGAGACAGGCACAAGTTTGGAGCTCTCATCAAATAACAAATTCAAAAGCCAATGGAACAATAACTGCCAAGAATCTATAGGCTAGCTAACCTTGTTTTCAGATGTGGTTTAGACAGCCAACCAATCAGCTAATCAGCACTAGCAACTATGTACACTATACTACAAACATTATTGAATTAATCTCAAATAAGTTGAAATACAACTAATGTGGTACTGTGGCTTGTACCATTAATGTAAAGAATGTCGGTTTGTAATACTAGTATCAAATAACATTAAGCTAACTTATATTTAATAATGTAAACACTTCAATATAGGAACAATACCATGTCTAGCTTATACAAAGCACCTATGACTCTTTGCAATCTCATACATATTCTACGTTGGTCAAAATATAAATAGTCCGTAAACAGCTATAGTAATTCAATTTATAGGTAGTACATGTGGCCTTTAATTTATACATTTCATGTCCTTTCTGATGAATGAGTCAACAAATGGATTAGGTTAGGACATAAGTCAAAAAGTAAATTGAAGTAGATAAACTGCATATTGTTATCTATGAATAACATAATAAGCAACAAATATTATTGGTTATGATTCAGCTACAGTTAAAAAGAATGGTGTTTATCATAGTCATATGACATCCAAATTTTATATTACATTATCGTATTATATATATGTTGACAATTTTACATGGAAAAGCATATGATAGAAATAGCATGGAAGTGAGTGTGTGTTTGTGTGACTTGATGTGACATGATGTGACATATGACGTGTGACACTTAAAATGTGTTGTGTGAATGTGAAATCGTCAAACAATTATAACCAAAAGATGAACGTGAACAACGCCATGTATAACTTTAGAAGCCACTGGATGATTTTGAAACTATTCATAAGAGCTTAAAACCATAACATGAGCATTTGAGCACCAAAACCAGCTCGGCCAGCTACTCTAGATAAGCATAACTTACGTAATTTCCTAGGTTTTTAAAATCATGCCTTTTTGCTGTGTACTTCGTTTCTCACAAAGTTAAGCATATTTCAAGCAATTATATGAGCCCAGAGAAAACAAACATGCATTCTTAGGTACCTCCATAGATTTGCAGTTGACAGTCAAGTACAATCCCCAAGTATTGCCCCTAACAAAGCAATTATATTTGAAAACTAAAGCATATATCACTATCAGAGGACTCACTTAAGAATATCATGGATATGCATGAATAAATCCATGCTATATGCTTATTAATATAACAACGCATATCTTCAAGTCATCTTACGGATTATAAAAAGTGGTAAACATGCTACTAGCTACATAAGTTACAATAATAACCAGCCATCCGATCGATTGAAAAACATATCTACTGTGCTAAGAAACAAGATAACTCTCTGGTGACTCTAATTCTGTTAGAATGCAAATAAAATTCAAGGAGTGAAAACATCTAAAGGGGTTTTTTTTCCCGGCATCTTTCTTTCTTCTCCCGTATCCGGACATACAGCATTTAACCCAACTCAATCTTAAGACATCAAAAATACATCGCAAAACTTGCTTCACCAGATTCAATGTCAATCTAATACGTACAATCGCAAAAAACCGAGGAACTCTAAAAAACTAAATGAGATGAACAAAAATAATCAGAAAAGAGGGCCTTTACTCGCTCTATTGTTGAATAAAACTCAGCAAGAAAACTCTTTCTCACGAAATCAATCCTAAATCCTAAATAACGCAATACAAAAAGATCGGGTCACTAAACCCTAGAAAGAGGGAAAACCCCATCTTCCAGAGATCGAAACGGGAGTTTATCAAGAAATAGATAAACTAGGGTTTTTCTAACGGCAGCGGCGGCGGAGGCGGGCAGAATAGGATTAGGGATTTGGATTGGAGAGAGAGTGAGGGAGAGGGGGACCTTTGGGGACCGGAGGAGGCGGAGCATCGACGGAGAGGCGGCGGCGGAGATCGTCGGCATTGGAGCGGTCGGCCATGGTCGGAGGCTGAGGGGAACTGCAGAGCTCGGACTCGAAGAAAACCCTTGTTTTGATTCGCAAATACTGGCGTCGGGAGAGAGAGCGGGTGGCAAATATAGGCGGATAAAAAAATCCGATGAGATAGGGAGAGCAAGTTTTTTATTCAATTCAAACCCTAGCAAATTTCCTTATTACTAATTAATCCTATGAGATGGAGAAATCCAACTCAAAGAAAACGCTTGGTTTTCTTCGTCGGCATTGGAGCGGTCGGCCATGGTCGGAGGCTGAGGGGAACTGCAGAGCTCGGACTCGAAGAAAACCCTTGTTTTGATTCGCAAATACTGGCGTCGGGAGAGAGAGCGGGTGGCAAATATAGGCGGATAAAAAAATCCGATGAGATAGGGAGAGCAAGTTTTTTATTCAATTCAAACCCTAGCAAATTTCCTTATTACTAATTAATCCTATGAGATGGAGAAATCCAACTCAAAGAAAACGCTTGGTTTTCTCTAATTTTAAAAGTTGTATGGTTTAGCTTTAATATATCCAAATTTTAGAGAGTTTTTAAAATTAAAATAGTTAAGGGGTTTTCTGTGACATCCATCCATCGTAGTTAGGGGTGCATTCGGTCCGGATACGGGTCGGATATGATGCTTACCATATCCATATCTGCTTATCCATCTCGGATACGGATACAGATATACCTCGGTAAAAAAAATTTATAATCATACCTGCTAAAATCGGATACGGTTACAGATATACATGCAGATATATAAGCGGATATGCATGCGGATACAAAACTAGATAGTATTGAGAAAAATATAGTTCATGTGATACAAAAGAGTTCATTAATATGTCCATTATAACTGAAAAGTTAAGATTAGACATCTTGATCATCAAATTTAACCATAAATCCATAATCTAATAATCGAAATTATCATAAGAGTATGACTAATATGTAGTTGGATATTTCGGATACGGATACGGATACAGATATTTCACTATAAAACCATATCTGTAACCATATCCAATCAGTTATACATTTGAGTAACCATATTCGTATCCTAACGGTATGGTTACGGATATTTTCTCGAATACGGATACGGTTTAGCACCCCTAATCGTAGTTGAAGACTTTTTTTCTAAAAGGGTTACTTAGATAATAGTCCTTTAAATGGTCAATAATTCTAGTTAATCCCTCAAATCCATGAAATTGCTCTTTAGTTCCTCAAATTTTATGGTTATTGCAATTTCGTCCTTCAATCACCAAAACAATCTTAGCTAATATTTTGGGAAAGGTTATTTGCAATTTGAGACTTTAAAGTTTACAACTTTTAAAACTTTGATAGCCAAAGATTTTTTTGACACTTTGATAGCCCAAAGTTTACATCTTTTTAATTTTGATGCCCAAACATTTTTTGACACTCTAATACCATAAAGTTTACATATTTGCAAACTTTCGTACCCTGAAAAGATTTCACACCTTTTTAACTTTGCTATCTTAAAGTTCACACATTTTTTTAAACTTTAATACCCTAAAATTAGGGGTATCAAAGTGTCAAAAACAAGCGTTAGGGTATCAAAGTTAAGAAGGTTTAAACTTTCAAAAGTGTCAAAAAAAATTAAGATAACAAATTTAAAAAGGTGTAAATTTTAGGGTATCAAAGCATCAACAAACTTCATGGCATTAAGTCAAAGAGATGCAAACTTTAGAGTATCAAAGTGTAAATTGCCATTTTTCACAAAATGAGTTTAAAGAGAGAAATCGTGACCAAGGGATATTCTACCCATTGACACAAATTGTAAGACCTTTATGTCTCGTTTGGTACTCGGGAATAGACTCAAATGAGAATGGAATGGAAATGAAATGGAATGAATGTGGGAATTGAATGAACATTTCCATTCTATTGTTTGGGTGCATTTATAGAATAAAGCTAGAATGAAAATCCAACTCCCATTTCCATGTTTGGTATCTTTAATTCACAAGTGAGAATGAAATCTTATTTTCTAATAATGCCCTTACAATAACATAGATTTTTAAAAAGATAAAAATAAATATTAATGATAATAACTAAATATTTTTATTTATGCGTAGGTTATATTAATCTAGTTATGTATTATACTCATGCACATGTTATCTCTCAGGTATATGTTCTGTTTATATTTTTTTAATCAATGTCACTATCTTCCTGTTCAGCTTTTGGATATCCTTCAAGGTGCGCAGCTCGGGCAGTCGCTCTATGGTGACTATCTTCTTGGGGTTGATCTTTATGTCTCTCTGTATTATCATGAACTCCATGAACTTTCCCGATTGCACCCCAAATGCACACTTGGCAGGATTGAGCTTCATGCGTAATGCCAGAGAGTGGAGAATGTCTCGTTCATATTTGATATGTGGGTTGATGCTTGCTTCGACTTCACCAACAAGTCGTCAACATAAGCTTCCAGATTGTGGCCTATCTGATGCTTGAAGGCCTTGTTGACAAGTCTCGGGTAGGTAGCTCCGCGTTCTTGAGACCGAACAACATCATCTTGTAGCAATAGGTTTCTAAGTTAGTGATAAAGGAGGTCTTCTCCTGATCATGTTCTGCCATGAAGATTCGGTTATAGCCAGAGAAGGCGTCCATGAAGCTAAGCAGCTCGTGCCCTACACTCTCGTCAACCAACTGATCAATTTGAGGCACGGGGTAGCTATCCTTGGGGCAAGCCTTATTAAGGTCGGTGAAGTCAACGCACATCCTCCATTTGTTCAGTGCCTTCTTCACCAACACCACATTAGCCAGCCATTCCGGGTATTGGACTTCCCGAATGAAACCACCTCTGAGGAGTTGTTCGACTTCGTCGGCCGCCGCCTTCTGGCGTTTTGGTTGAGGTGTCTCTTCTTTTATCGCACAGGCTTAGTGTGCCTGTCGACAGCCAGCTCATGGCTTATCACCTCAGGGGGAACCCTCGACATATCTTCGGGTCCCCAGGAGAACACATTAGCGTTTGTCTGTAAGAATACTGGCAATGCTCCTCTCAAGGGCTCAGCTAGGATGGACTTAATCTTGCTCGTCCTTTTCCCTCCGTGATCGATTGGTATCTCCTGAAGGTCTTCCATCGACGTCGTCCTCTGTCGCTCTGTTTCTTTCTCCAACTAGAGGTAAGCTTTCTCAATATATAAGACATCTTGCACGCCTTTATCCTTGGTCGAGAGTAGGTAACAGGACCTGACCTCTCGTTGGTTGCTCCTGGTGACTCCGACTCTATTAGAAGTCAGGAACTTCACCATCTGGTGGTAGGTGGAAGGGACAGCTCGTAAAAAACGGAGGCGGTTCGGCCCAAGATGACATTGTGAGCCGTCTTGAGGTTCATCACCAGGAACTGCACTTGGACGGTGGATTGCCTAGGGTGTTAGCCTCTTTATTTTGATGATGTTTAACAAACAATTTACATCTAATATTGTTTGTCGAGTGTTTATATTTTGTATTCATTATAGACAAACAATATGTTGGAGGTTGGATAAAATTGTGCCATAACGATCATATCCAATGGAGGTTGGCGGAATAGTGGAGTGAAGCAATGCAATTCAAGTTGAAGATCCAAGTTCAAGCTTCATCCGCAAGTTTACCAAGAAGAGCTTATTGAAGATCAAAATCATAGCTTGGGTATATTTTGTTTAGGGTTATATTATGTGTGTTGGTACTTTAAGATCAATTATATACACACACATTTTATTGTTTTCTTTATATATATATATATATATACACTAGGTTTTATGCGCGTACAATGCACGTGGTTAAATACCATAATTTAGTATATTTGGTTTATTTACTAAATAAAATTTGTTTCTCAATTCTACTTTGATGGTTTTTGCTCATTTATGTTACTAAACTTTAGCACTATGATTATTTATTTTCTTTAATGTTCGTTTAAATAAGCTACACCCAATTTAAATTTTTATGTTGATAATTAAATTAATAGAAAACAAATGTAAATAGAAGCCAACTTGAATTATCATGTTATTTGGTCAGACATAAAACCAAGCTTGAACTGATAAAATATAGTGTTATAAAAGTGAAAAACACTTCAAAATGGTGTTATAAAAGGAAGATGAATAATTAAAGCTAATAAAATAAGATGATTGGTTAAAAGTCGGCTAAAACAACACAAAAGAGAATATAGAGCTTGTTCATAATCCTCAATAGACTTTAAAAAAGATCATAAACTAATGATTGGTTTAAAAGAAGTACTATTTGATTAATATTCAAAACTATGGAATAATATTCATACTTTTTAGATTTTGCTATTGTGAGAGCAACATGTTTGGGCTTATATTCAAACTTGTTGGCTCTATAAAAGATAGAAGAATTTGGAGTGCTTAGCTTATATATCGTTAAGAACATATCGATCTATGAAGAATTTTTTCTAATAATGATATTATTACAATGATATTACTAATTAATATTAAATCAATTTTATTATATAAGATTATATAACCCTTTTTAATAAATTATAAAATATATATGGAAACTTTGATGCTTATAGCCAGTAGTTGGACTCCACAAAATAGGTTAACTTTACATTATAGTTTGCTATTTGTAGTACTATTGGCAATGACATTACATTTTCTCTTTATCTTATTATTCATACTTTTCTGATGTAAGTTCTCTTTTGCTAATAATTCAATTGGTTATATTTAGTTATATAAGATTATATAACCCTTTTTAATAAATTATAAAATATAAATGGAAACTTTGATGCTTATAGCCAGTAGTTGGACACCACAAAATAGGTTAACTTTACATTATAGTTTGCTATTTGTAGTACTATTGGCAATAACATTACATTTTCTCTTTATCTTATTATTCATACTTTTCTGATGTAAGTTCTCTTTTGCTAATAATTCAATTGGTTATATTTAGTTTTTATAATATCAGATGTTAGAATATTCTCTTCTATTTAAAAATTGTTGACATGATTTTCTTAACAAATATATACACATAGTATCAATAGTATATGCTTCAGTGCAACTCAAACATTGGCTTGAAGCTATTTAGAATAAGGTCCTTTCTATTCTAGAATGGTAATATAGTGATCACACTGTCTAAAAGTCAAAGAATAAATTTCTAC